CCAACACCACTTCACCCAGATCTATAACAGAGTTTCTCCTACAATATGGTTCCTATCCTTGGTAAAAGTCTAATGGATCACAGTGGCAGGTCATGGTAGCTTGGGTCCTGTAGCAGAGATGTATAGTTAAACAGAAAGCTTCAAATACCTCTGAAGTATTACTGTTATTTGAACCAATTTTTTTAACATAATTAGATAAAATTCTTGGGAATTTAGTCTATTTTCAGCACAGACATATTAAAAACTTTGGCTCATTCTAAAATATTCCTCAAAAAGGTTAAGGTTGGGCCAGCCCAGTGGCATAGTGGTTAAGTTCACGTGCTCTGCTTCGGTGGCCTGAGGTTCACAGATTCGGATCCTATACACCCCTTATCAAGCCATGCTGTGGCAGGTGTCCCACATATAAAGTAGAGGAAGATGGGCATGGATGTTAGCCCAGGACCAATCCTCCTCAGCAAAAAGTGGAAGACTGGTAACAGATGTTAGCTCAGGGCTAATCTTCCTCACCAAAAAAAAAAAAAAAAAATCAGGGGGCCAGCCTGGTCACATAGTGGTTAAGTTTGCGTGCTCTGCTTTGGCGGCCCAGGCTTCACAAATTTGGTCCCAGGCGCAGACCTATGCACCGCTCATCAAGCCATGCTGTGGCAGGAATCCCACATACAAAATAGAGGAAGATAGGCACAGATGTTAGCTCAGGGCTAATCTTCCTCATCAAAAAAAAAAAAGAGAGAGAGATTAAGGTTAGTTCCTTTAAAATTCTTTCTCCCTAGAGCAAGGTTTCTAAAATGACCACCCATGCAATGGGTTCAAGGATCTGGGCTATAAGCACCTCTAAACCTCTTTGATTTACTAAGTCCCAATCAGGGGGATAATGGAAAAACATCAGAAGGGGAAAAAAACACAAACGTCTCTCTCAGTCTGGTTTCTGGGAGAGAAAATAAGACTTGGTTTCCTCCACAGTGAGCACTCAACAGCTACAAGCAGTACGGAGAGGTTTCCTCTTTCACAGAAATTAGAAGATAAAGCAAAGAACAGCTCAATTTCATGCTCCTACCGTGCCGCTCAACAGCCTAAGCACTTGCATAACCTAATGAAAACCATCGAAACCCCAGTGAAGAAAGGCACAGAAAGGAGAAACAGAGGGTCTAGTCATCTCATCCCTCATCCATATTAATCTAGTAATAATGAGAATTGCTATCTTTTTTCAGTGCCTACTAAGTACAAGACACTGCTAGGTTCTTTTCACACATAATGTAAAGAAACTACCAAATTTCAACAGGTCTGCAAAGAAGGCATTATTAGCTATCCATATATTATAGATGAGAAAAGAGACTCAGAGAAGTTCAGCAGCTTTCCCAAGGTCAGATAGCTAATCACTGCTAAAACAGGATTTTGACCTAAAGCCCATCGTGCTTTCTTCACTGTCACTTCTCTTGCTGTGCTAGTTAAAACAGTGAAGTCAGCAAACATCAGACTTTGCTTTCCTTCTGCAAGCTTCTGATATCATCATGACCTGCGACATATGTTCTGGAAATACAATTAGCTCAAATATTAATCAACTTTCCCTAACAGCTACATCCTCTGTGTCTTATACTTTTACATGCTAACATGTTTCAGAACTACTCCTATTGGACATACTTCCCTCTAAGTTTCGGATTTATCTCTCCTTTCACACTCATTTAGCTACACAAAAAATCTACTAGATTCATCAGACAGCTTGACTTTGTAAATGGCATATTCATTTACACAGTTAAGTTCTCCGGAAATAACGTTTCTTTGTTCAAAATGGAAAATTATCAAGAATTTTTATGTTTTAATAATAATATTCTCTATTTACTCTAAGAACAAATCTTTCAAAAGCCTGATCCAAACGCAAACATGCACAATATCTTTTCTGTTTTCTTACTATGGGACTGATCTGTGTTTGTGTAGTTGATCAACAAATCAAGTTATTAGAACTTTTAAAACAAAAACCTATAAATTTAGTATAACATCTTTACAATGTCAAAAATCAGAATTCATATAGTTCCTCACAAAGAAACAGACTTTCAAATGATCTGAAATTATCTGATTTCACGTGTATGAAAGAGTCTGAGTCATTCATGTATGATAGGTAAATGTATCTGTAGTTAAAATTATATTGTTTTAAATTATAACCTTGTTTTGTGTTTCTAAGTTTTATAGAGTTTTATGTACTATAAAATCATCTATATTAACCTTGGACAGGTTTATGCTGGTAAAGGAGATTTGTACCTGAGCAATCTACTTGGATAAAAACCATGGATGGCACTGTTATTTAATCATATCTTTCTTTCTCCCTTCTTTGACAAGTTCCACAAATACCACCTATCTTTTGGTGATTCAAAAAATCTTAAACCAATTAATTAAACTGTTTCAATTTTTGATAATGGTCTAATATTTACTCTAATCTTCATTCACAACAATAATAAAATGCTCAAATCAAAGCCTTTCATATGTAAAAAAGGTCTAACTATACCACATGTCTAAGTTTTTGACTTTATTTACATGTATTTTCCCTTTCTTTTAGCCTGTACAATAGATCAGAGGTCTATCCTTTTTCTATAGAGGGTCAGATAGTACATATTTTAGGCTCTACAGGCCAGAGGGTCTTTGTTGCAACTATTCAACTTGCAGCTGCAGCCCAAAGCAGCCACAAACAGTACAAAGATGAATAGGTGTGGCTGGATTTAGGTGGCACTATACTGGATTTGGCACATGGCAGTAGTTTGCTGACCCCTGAGCTAAGTCACGGAGAAAACAGGAAAAATTGTGTCACTACAATTACCTAGGGTATCTTAATATTTAGCATGACAGACGAAATCATTCATAGCCATGCTGAGGTTAGACTGCTTCAGACCAAATACAACTAATCTCAACCCTAAGAGTGCTAAATACAATACTCCACTGAAATTAGATTTCTATTTAGCCACACATTTTTGTTAAGCATATCACCAGAAAAACAAGGCTACTCTCTGTGGCCAGCCTTTCTAAATTGTCTGCTACTTCCCTCTCTCACTTTATTTCCCCAACTCACCCCAGTTCCATTAGACATAATACTTATTTTTTGGTCTCAGGAAGGTCAAGGTGTCACCACCTCTTCCCTATACAAAAAGTGATTTCTACTTCCACTACTTCTGCTAAGAGACAGAGATGGAGGCTGACGTCATTCCCAATCCCCTTCTCCCTTGCTGCCTTCCACTATATAAGTTGGACAAGCCAAATGCTCACCTTCTCAGCCTCTCTTGCAGCTTAGCAAGGCCATGTAATAAAGTTCAGGACAATAAATATCTTATAAAACACCGCTGAGGGAGGGGTGCTCTGAGAAAGATTTCATGTTTTTTAAAAAAAGGAGGGGAATCACAACCATCAGGACCTCTTCCTTTCCCTTTCTTCCTGCTTAATGCAAATATGATAGCTGGAATTGGAGCAACCATTTTGCAATCTGGAATTTTGCAAATATTAGAATAATCTAAGAGAACTGTAGAGATGTCAGCACTGAAACTTTAAGCCACTGAATCAATGCTAGAGGCCATTTATCTCCAGAGTTGAAAAACAGACCCTGTAAAGCGAATTTTTGTTGCAAATAAAAGCATTCTTAATCTACCTTTTCTTTAAAGCGCTAAGCTCCCAAGTCACTACTCCGCTTGAGAAGTGCAAGACCAAAAGTGGCTGAGCCTAGTTAGTTTGTTGTGAATTCTGACTAAAGAGCACTACTTTAACCTAGAGAGAAAAGCAGCAGGAAGAAATTCACAAGAAAGTCTAGACTGAGAGTTGACAGCCTAGAGCAAAAAGTCAACGGGCAAAGAAAAGAGGAGGCCCAAGACGATTACTCAAATGTTAAAGAGAGACAGAAAAAAAAAATTGAAAAAGCTCTCCTTTAGAATTATGGGCCAATAAGCCTCACAAATATTCTACTCAGCAAGTCAAGGTTGAGAATTCCGATTATATTAATTTCCGACCACGTACTCCCACTGTTTGAAAAGTAAACGTTCAGAACTCATCTTTCATATTGTTATATTCACAAGTTATATTTTTGTGCTTTTTTTTGAAGCTAATTAATTTATCTTTAAGCTTCTATTTCCTTGATATTCACAAAAGTATAGTTACTGTCAATATATGATCATTTTTGACACCTGAATAATCTTTGAAATAATTATTAACAATCAAGTGAATGATGATACTGACAATAAGGACAGTGGTTTCCTCAAGCATTCACATACTAGTTTAGCTGGTTGATCCATCACCCCAACTTTAGGGACAGTCACTTCTCTTTTATATCAATACCACTGCAAAAAATACTCAAAGACAGGTAATTCTACCCACTCAAAAGAAATGTCAGAAAGATGCTTATTTTACCTCACATCTCCCTTAAAGTACAACTCTTAAGTTAAAATATCAGTTTTTGTTTTACTTCCTTACAAATAATGCAATATAGATATTCACACAGATACACACACCCCCCCATCTAGCTATAAACCCAAAAGTTTTCTCCTCCATGAGAATAGTCTGGTGGTTTTATGCTGCAGTGTAAACACTTACCAATTACAATATCTACGAATTATAACAGATTTTTTTTTATTTTTATGATTTTAGAGTAGAATTCCTTAGGATGGTCAAAGCTTTAGCTAAAAAGAATACCAAATACAAAGAGGTTTCAGGCTCAATTACAGTAGTGGAACAGAATTTAATAAAGTTCCAACACCACATTTTCATGCCCAAATTTCTTATTGTCTTTTTTAGTTGACAAATATGTGCTCTGCAGTATAATGGCAGCAGCAGAACAGCTGGATGGCCACATCAAGCAAAAGGAAGCAACCACACATGCTGTTAAGTGTCGTTCTGACTGCCTAGAAATGGCAGCCCATGCAGATTTACTCCCTGCTATAAATTAGAACAATTATTTCTCTGGAGTTTACATTTTCTTCACGAAAGAGTCAAATTTTCTGCACATTAAAAAAGAGAATTTTCAAAAAGGATATCTTCCCTTTCTTTGATGATCAGTTCATTCTGCTCTTCCAACTGCCTGATCTTCTTCTCAAATGATTCCTGCTCAGCTTTGAGTCGTTCTTCTGTCACTTCCTTTTCCTCACTTACTCTGAAAGAAATACAAAAATGAAAAAGAAAATGCCCATGAGAATAAAATAAAATATGTACCTACAGCTGCAGTTTACCAAAACTAGATTTCTTCCACAGGTTCACTGGTTTCTTCAGAAATACTCTATGTTCTGTTTTTTTTTGCTAACCTTTCTTCCACCCCTTTATATTAAAATATGCCTGTGATTTTTACATCAAGAATGTTTCCAATCTTCAAAAGCATCTTAAATATGGAAAATCCTATGCAGAACATAGATCCGTAATTATAATCCCGGACAATAAAACATCCAATTTTTAAAATATAGGTTTCATTTCTTCAATATTAAAATAGGCACAATCAATTTACTTTGATTTAGATCTTTTTCACACTTTTATTTAAATACTGCCAATGAAATAAACACTATAAATATCTCTTAAATATTTCACTAAATATACATAGGCAATTTTATTCTTTTTCCTCGTACTGATACCCTGCATTCCTCAGTACCATATAAATAACTGGACTGGGATAAAAAGATGGTATTAACATAGAAAAAAGTTTGCACTATATTTATTCTTGGTCCAAAAATGATTATAAAGTTAAAAACACTGACCAAAGAATCTGTATCGTTAATGTTTAACTCTGAAAAGTATTCCAACTCAATCCTACCAAAAAGGGGTGGTTTCTGAAAAGAGTAAAGAGGAAAAAAACCAAAAAACAAAAAAATAGAAAAACATAAAGCTAAACAACAACATTAAAACTTATCTTAAAATGGCAACCCTAATTTTCATGTTAACTCTGTTCACAGAGATGTTAGCCCTAAGTTTCTCTGTTACTGGTGCTTATTTCTCCAAGGAGAGTACAACACATTTATCCTATAAGATCACACCAAGATATGTGTAAGTGAAATCCACAGGAAAACCAAACCTTTTCTTTGAGCTCCTAAATTTACATCCTCCCAGATGCGTACTCTCCCAGAGAAATTTCTGAATAACATGAACTCCATAGCCTTTCCTTTGTTGCTAGCGTTCTGGTGGAGATATTGAAATCAACGAGATACAGAACGAAAATCAGAATTCTGAATGTTCAAGAGTTGATTACATCTTGTCTGAAATTTGTGTGAAAGTGCATGGCACACAGTCGTGTTCAAAAAATAGGTTGATTTCTTCTTGCTCATCATGACATTCAAATCATTTCCCCAACCCCTATTATTTATGTTTAGCATACTACTAGGCCTATGAATGGGACTCAAGCCCTTCTTTCTAAAAGAGTAATCTCTAAAACTAATACAATTACAAGGAATCCAGACAATAAACAAAGAACAAATATACACATATGAAGAGGATTTATACTCTAGTATCAGGTTATCCTGTCTCCTTGTTTTCACCTCTTCCCAATGCCTTTCCTTTTCTTGTTATTACTCTCAAGGACACTTGCACTAACATCTTTCACAGTAATTCCCCATTGCCTCTAAGTTTTTCTAAAATTGTCAAATATTTGTACCCTTTATTATTTCTACCATCCAAATCACTCCTCTTCCCTCTATCAAAAAGCTTCTGCAATACCTTTGTCAAGAAACTGCTTCAAATCAAGTAAACCCCTCAAACTGTAAATAAGAAGAACATGTACACTTGGTAATTTTGGCAAAGTGTGCTTATTTCTCTGGACATCATGACTCTCACTCATAAAGAAAAAGGGCTAGACCAGACAATTTTAACAATTCGTCCCAGCTCAAGTTCTATAACTTCCTTCACTATACTATAAATATCCTGATACTGTGGTTTGGTTGGTACTGTGGTTTGTCCTTTATAAATATGGAGAACATTTGTAAAGAAATAAGAAAGAAGTTAACAAACATTTGGTCAGGGTACATGGTATATAATATTATAATCTAGGGAAACTATAGCCATAGGATGAGAGAAGACGCAGATAAAAAGAGAAATATTAAAAAGTACAAAGATACAAAATTTAGCATGAGGATAGATAATGCAAAACAAAGGAAGTGATGCATCTGTAGGGTTATGCATAAAATAAAGATAAATAAGTCATACTATATACATATTGTAAGGAGAGAATAAATACTGTTAAGGTGAAAAAATATGCAGCAAAATCTCTCCCTGTTTAGAGTGGTAAAATCTTAAAGACAAGACTGAAGAGGAAAATCTGTAAGTAGATAAGAGAACATTTATGTTTATTTACTTAAAAATATTTACTGAAAATTTCCTACTATAGACAAAAATAATCACAGTAACTTTATTCAGTTAGAAAGTATTCAAAAGGAACCTAACAGTGGCTCCCTGTAGTTTCAATCTCATTCATAAAAGCCATACAAATATGAGGAATGGCCCAAAGATTTGTTTCTTCAACAAGTAATGCTCCAGGGTCATAAAACAGTAACAAAAAATTAGATTGTCAAGTTTACCTTAACATTAAATTAAACACAGAGATTATCTCTAGAGTCTACCAGATCAGAACATATAGGTATCATATAAGTATAGCTCAAAAGTTACTTATTCCCTTTGCTGGACTTGAAGGAAATCCATGAAAACTCTAGGGATCATTGAAGGCAAAAATGCTTGTACATATATTCCATAATGCCAGAGTCTACAATGAGCTTTTCCCAAAACTTAATGTGTTCTATCCAAAAAAATCACCCTCTTCTAAATGTAATTTTTAGGGTATGTTTGAAAAATTTGTTGCTACGGTATTTAAACAGGGCTTTTTTTTTCCCCCAAATCATTTCTCTTATGCTGTTATGATTAGACTACCTGTTAGCCATTACTATGCTCTAGAAGGCTATAAAATTAACAAGCTCCATTAAGCACAAAGGGCAACACTTCTTCTATAGGCCTATCTAAAGATATACGTGGCTTCTTTGTGGCCTATTAGCATAGTTACTATGAGCAAGTATATTAATACAGTCTTTAAATGCAGAGGACCTGCCAGTGAAACAACCTCAAGATTTCCATACTGAAATCTGTCTTCTTATTTAATGTGTGTTTAATAATATTTCCCATGAGGTATACGTATGAGAAAATACCTACATTTTTCATCAAAGCAATCTCAGACCATAAAATAAAATAAAAGACCTAATCCTCTATCTTATTTAGAATCCTGCCACAAGTTAATTAACAAAATAAGAATCTAAACACAAGAAAGGGAAATATTTGACTAATAGGATACAAAGGTTAAAATTCTGGACAAGAGGATATTGTTAGTGTGGGTTTGTTAATTATTCACAAGGAGGACAATAGCCTATTCATAAAGTAAGAAATCACCATTGTCAGCATTTATTTAATGCCTCAGAGTATTTCTCAAAAACTTCCACAAAATGTACTCTTATCTAACACGAAAAGACAATTCACACCCTTAAGAGTTGGTTGGTTGGGCTGAAATTTGTGCTGAAATTACTGAATTTCTTTGAAGTCTTATGTTTTAGCTTAAACACCCCTGTACATTTTGTGTTTTTCTCCATAAAACGATCTTTTCTGTTTTAATATAAAAAGTTTTCCCCCATCCACCTATTAAATTTTTTAGTAAAACTAATGTTCTAGAAAGAGATTGATTTTATGGCTTTGCATATCCCCGATGTTCTTCCAGATACTCCAGGAATGGGTGGGTACATGTACACTAACGTGAAAGACAAGGTCAAGGCAGCAAAGCTTCTATCCCAAAGAGAATTACAGCTCATCCAATGGTCAACCAGATAAATTTCTTCCTCTCTTTATTTCCTTGTGTTTGGGAGCTGGGTATGCTGGTTGCATTTAATAAATTATAATATCAACTTAGTGGGTAAGATTTAGAAAAGGAAAAACAGATTTCATAGCACACCTAGCAAAAAGAAAGGAACATATTGTTTTCAAGCAAAAGTAAATGCATGGTGAGAAAGAAGGCTTTCATTATTAAAAAACATTTCAGTGACATCATCTGAATGCCCTCTTTATAAATTTTAACATTTGGCTATTATTTAAAATGTACTGTCTAAAGGAATACAGGTACTTCAAGAAATCAGAGACATAGCAATCTATGTCAAAAGGGCTCTAAGAACTACAGAGCAATATCTAATGAACGCAGACACAAAAATCCTCAACAAAATACTAGCAAACAGCATCCAGGAACAAAAAAAAAGGATTATATATCATGACAAATTGGGATTTATCCCAGGAATAAAAGTTGGCTTAACACTCAAGAATCAGTTAATGTAATATACCATATATCAATAAAACAAAGGACAAAAACCACATGATCATCTAAACAGATGCAGAAAAGTGTTTGAAAAAATCCAACAACAATTCATGATTTAAAAAAAAAACATTTAATGAATAGGAAGAAAAGGGAACTTCCTCAACCTGAAAAAGTCCATTTACGAAAAACGCACATCTAATATCATATTTAATGGTAAAAGACCAAATTTTTCCCCCAATGATCCAGAACAAGACCAAGATGTCTGCTCTTGCCACTTCAATTCAACATGGTACTAGAGGTTACAGTTAGGACAATTAGGCAGGTAAAATGAACAAAAGGCATCTAGACTCTAAAGGAAGAAGTAAAACCATCTCTATTTTACATGATATGATTTTGTATATAGAAAATCTAAGGAATCCACTAAAAACTACTAGAACTAATAAAGGTGTTCATTAAGGTTACAGGATACAAGATCAATATACACAAGTCAATTGTACACTAGCAGTGAACACCCCAAAAAGAAATTAAGGAAACAATTGCATTCACAATCACACCAAGAAAAATAAAATACAAAGGAATAAATTCAACAAAAGAAGCAAGACTTGTAAACTGAAAACTACAAAACATTGTTGAAAGAAATTAGAGACCTAAATTAATGACCTAAAAGACATTCCAGGTTCATGACTGGAAGACTTAAGATGGCAGTACTCTCAAAACTGATCTACAAGTTCAATTCAATCTCTACCAAAATTTCCACTGGTTTATTTGCAGAAACTGACAAACTAACCTGGTACTAAAATTCATATGGAATTGAAAGGGACCCAGAATACCTAAAA